ATCATTTGTATGCAGCCCTGCCTCTACTTGCGGCCACTGTTCTCTCTAATCTGTGTGCTGTGGAAATGAATGAAGCAAAGCAGGGCTTATTACAAGACATGTATTCAGCAGGTTAAATGATTATGCAGCTATACCTATGGTATCTTGACTAATCATTTTGAAACCTGAACATTTCTGCCCATGTGCCTGAACAAATGCAGAGCAGAGCAGATTTTATTTTTATAGCCAGTTTAGTGCACTATAACATCCTTTATATTAGGTGTTTTAAAAAAAATCAATAGATTGCACATTTATGCTTTCAATTAAAATATTGAAAAGCATATGAGCTTGATCTGTCTTATTTTGTATACATGAAAAAATCACTGATTTTATATACATTTTATATTCAGTCAGTTTGAATGAATACCTGCACATTACCAAGTCACTTCAAACTTAGATCACTTATTATAGGTGATATGTGCCTACAAAATAGCCACATAGCAGTTAAGTTGATTTCAGACATTTTGGCATTAATGCTTTGTAGGCATTCATAGAGTACAGGCAGTCCCGAGGTTATGAACAAGATAGGTTTTGTAGGTTTGTTCTTCAAGGAGAAGTACAGCCAATGCACTTTTGGCAGTACTTCTCCTGTGGACCACAGGAGCGCAGTTTTCTCTCTGTGCTCCTGTGGCCCGTTTTCAGCCTGCTGTCAGCTGACGTCACTCAACTGGCCCAGGCTAGGGAAAGATTCTACCTTTAAAGTCAGGATCTACCCCAGAGTCTGGAGCGGCACCTGGCCCAGCCTCTCAGCGAGCTACTAAGAGCTTGAACCAGCCGCTCCCTCCCCCTCCACAGCCCAGTGCTCCAGTGAGCACTGGGGTTGGGCAGAGCAGAGAGCGGTGACTGACAGTCACCGCTCTCTGCTCAGAGTGGCTGAGAGAACTCAGCGATCAGCGGTCATGTGATTGTTGAGTTCTCACACTTAAAGCTGCCAGGGGACAGATGCAGCTTCAGACCGATGCTGCATCCACCTAGGTCAGTATAACTTGGGAACAAAACCCAAAGCCAGACTTCTCTTTTAGGTTGGAACGAGTACATTTTTTAAGTGTAACTCCAGCCAAAAATAGCTTTTTTTAAGTTTTGAATAGCATAAGGAAGGGTTAAATGGTCATGCAGTTATGTGGGATTGCTGAGAGGTCTGCTGGACAGTAGGTGGCTGCATGTGGTGAGCAGCAAGATGGCCCAGTGGTTTCCGGGACCAGCGTGACATCACGCTGCCTCCGTTCTTAAGTACGAGTCATATGTAAGTCGGATGTTTGTAATTCGGGGACTGCCTATAGTACCTTTTGTCCTATGGAAACCTCTGTAAAGAATACTGTCATCCAGAGTACAGATACAGGTGATGTGTGCCCAGGAAATAGCCACATAGCATTTGAGTAGATTTCATACATTTTGGCATTCATGCTTTGTAGGTATTGATAGAGTAGTACCTTTTGTCCTATAGAAAGCTATGTAAAGAATACTGTTATCCAAAGTACATAGTTACATAGATACATTAATCAAGTTGAAAAAAGACCCATCTAGTTCAACCAATAGGGAAAAAAAATGAAAACCTCCATTTACTCAGTCCTATACCCACAATTGATTCAGAGGAACCAATAAAGCATGATCCAGTTCTCCCCAGCAGGGGAAAAAACTTCCTTCCTGATCCCCCAGGAGGCAATCAGATATTCCCTGCATCAACGTCCCCTGGTGAAATGAATTATTAATGTTAGTACCCAGATATATTTTGTGCATTTAGGAATGTAATCCAGAGTAAGGATGATGACACTACCATGCAATGTCCCACGGAATCATTGCTTCTCATTTGAATCTAAGGACCTGACACATGCTGTGCTAAATGGTTGGAGGGTCATCAGACTTTGATTCAGTAATATGGGTGCAGGGTGCATGACAGGTTTCCCCTTAACCAGTCATGTAGCTGTAGCAGTTTATTTATAATATACATATTTTTGCATTCTGATATGCCCTTTGCCCACACATAAAAATGACACACATTTTACTGCCCATATCAATTATCAGCTTTTAGAATGATTTATACTTAACAGTGACTTTACATTTCCTGAGTTAACTGCATTGTGCTGGCATATACTGCAGGTGATAGGGTTTTTTATTTTAATAACTGTTATTACTGTGCTATTTTTTGGCATAATTCTGCACTATTCCATCTCTATTCCATCTCCTAATGCACTGGCAAGATTCCTGCTGCCAATAGCTGGATCTCACCACTGCAGTAGTAAGTAAGATAGCCTCTGCAGCTATTTAAATTATGCATCCCACTTCCTGTAACTACACGAGCTTGCAGGCTGATTAGAATTTTTTATTGGAGGCTATAGAAACCATCAGTATGTATTGTGGTATAAGAAATATCTAGTAACATTTATTTCTGGTATTTTTTCTGCCTGTTGTGTGAATCTAGAGTAATGGCAGTGTAAAAATATGAATTTCTTTTCTTTTTCATGTGGTCTGATTTATTGGTTATATTTTATATCAAATGTATTATTGCAGAGTATATTTTAATCACATGTAGGACACTAAATATTTTTGGAAAAAAAGAAATAATATTTTTTAATAAGTCTCTAAATATACTCATCAATTTCACATTTTGATATTTAAAACAATAGATAAATTAGATTAAAGAATATAAAAACTAAATTCCAGTTATATCCTCTACACCTAGAAATTGTTTTTTTTTTTTGACACTTGAAAGAGTGGACAGCTTCTGTGTCCTTTCACCTTGCACATTAACAGTTTGATTGTATTGATTGTGATAATTGGCCATTTCTGGTCAACAAAATGCCTCAGGTTATTGCACATGCTTGTTATCACACATGAAAATTTGAAGCTCATTTGCACACACACTTCTATACTTACACATCTCGCTCAGCTATAAGCAGATTATCTCCTATCCATCATTAATGGGGAAATGTATTTATTATTTATTACAGGTACTTATATAGTGCTGTCAATTTATGCAGCGCTTTACATGTATTTTGTACATTCACATCAGTCCCTAACCCTCAAGGGCCGTACAATCTAAGGTCCCTAACTCACATTCATACATACACATACTAGGGCCAATTTAGACAGGATCCAGTTAACCTACCAGCATGTCTTTGGAGTGTGGGAGGAAACCGGAGTACCTGGAGGAAACCCACACAGGCACAGGGAGAACATGCAAACTCCAGGCAGGTGGTGCCGTTGCTGGGATTCAAACCAATGACCTAGTACTGCCAGGCGGAAGGGTTAACCAATTAGCCACTGTGCTGCCAATTTAAGCAGTGCTTTACATGTATATTGTACATTCACATATGTCCTAACCCTCAAGGAGCGTACAATCTAAGGTCCCTAACTCACTTTCATACATACATATACTAGGGCCAATTTAGACAGGAGCCAATTAACCTACCAGCATGTCTTTGGAGTGTGGGAGAAAACCAGAGTACCCGGAGGAAACCCACTTAGGCACAGGGAGAACATGCAAACTCCAGGCAGGTGGTGCCATGGCTGGGATTCAAACCAACGACCCTAGTACTGCCAGGCGGAAGGGCAAACCAATTAGCTAGGGAAATATCTATCTGTTTGCTCCTAAAGCTCCCTGAATTATGTATCAGTTCACAGATGTCAAGGACAGGATCTCATCTGGACAGAGAGCAGGATATCAACAGCAGTGGGGCACCATCCCTATCCCTCTTTGCCTTCCAGAATCTCCTATAATTAGAGTGTATATCCACTCAAAGCTTTTTTATTTTGTTTTGGATACTGTGAAAAAGGGATAGAACCCGCAATGTAGCCCAAGACTTTGTTAGAGGCATAAACAGTTTCACCATACAGAAAGTGAGGGTAAATCTCCAAAAAGAAACATAGAAATAAAAACTAATTTTTATTATTTAATTTATCTATTACAGGTACTTATATAGCGGTGTTATAGATTCAACAAGGTGTTGGAAACATTACTCAGATATTTTGGTTCATATTGACATGAGTTACTGTTACCTTTCTATCATCTTGAACCAGTCTGCCCATTCTCCTCTGACCTCTGACATCAACAAGGCATTTTCATTCACACAACGGCCGCTCACTGGATATTTTCTCTTTTTCGGACAATTCTCTGTAAACCCTAGAGATGGTTGTGTGTGAAAATTCCCAGTAGATCAGCAGTTTTTGAAATACGCCGACCAGCCCGTCTGACACCAACAACCATGCCACATTCAAAGTCACTTAAGTCCCCTTTCTTCCCCATTCTCATGCTCAGTTTGAACATCAGAAAGTTGTCTTCACCACATCTAAATGCCTAAATGCATTACGTTGCTGCACTGTGATTAGCTGATTAGTAATTTGTGTTGCCAAGCAGTTGAACAGGTGTGCCTAATAAAGTTGCTAGTGAGTGTATATTGTACATTCACATCAGTCCCTAACCCTCAAGGAACGTACAATCTAAGTTTTCGAACTCACATTCATACATACACATACTAGGGTCAATTTAGACAGAAGCCAATTAACCTACCAGCATGTCTTTGGAGTGTAAGAGGAAACCGGAGTACCCAGAGGAAACCCACACAGGCACAAGGAGAACATGAAAATTCCAGGCAGGTGGAACCAACAACCCCAGTGCTGCCAGGCGGAAGTGCTAACCATTTAGCCACTGTGTTTAGAGTATTGGAAGGATAGAACTCCTTTCCAGTTGCTGAATGTACATACACTTTTATCAGTCCTACGAATGTCTAGGACATACTTTCAATTACTAAAATTTCAGTCTGACAAATTTCAAGATGGGGGACACAGAAATTAGTGTAACTAACGAGCCATACTCATACAATTCTCTGCTTCTCAAATATGTGTTGTTACGTGTGTTATATACACTATATTGCCAAAAGTATTGGGACACCCCTCCAAATCATTGGATTCAGGGGTTCCAATCACCTCCATGGCCACAGGTGTATAAAATCAAGCACCTAGGCATGAAGACTGCTTCTACAACCATTTGTGAAAGAATAGGTCGCTCTCAGGAGCTCAGTGGATTCAAGCGGGGTACGTTGATAGGTTGCCACCTGTGCAATAAGTCCATCCGTGAAATTTCCTTACTACTAAATATTCCACAGTCAACTGTTAGTGGTATCATAACAAAGTGGAAACAACTGGGAACAACAGCAACTCAACCACGAAGTGGTAGAGCTCGTAAAATGATAGAGCAGGATCAGCGCATGCTGAAGAGCACAGTGCACAAAAGCTGTTTAGCCATGGGTTTCCATGGCTGAACAGCTGCATCCAAGCCTTACATCACCCAGTGCAATGCAATGCAAAACGTTGGATGCAGTGGTGTAAAGCATGCCACCACTAGACTCTAGAGCAGTGGAGACGTGTTCTCTTGAGTGACGCATCACGTTTCTCTGTCTGGCAATCTGATGGATGTGTCTGGGTTTGGCGGTTGCCAGAGAACGGTACTTGCCTGACTGTATTGTGCCAAGTGTAACGTTTGGTGGAGGAGGGATTTTGGTGTGGGGTTGTTCTTCAGGGGTTGGGCTTGGCCCCTTAGTCCCAGTGAAGGAAACTCTTAAGGCATCAGCATACAAAGACATTTTGGACAATTTCATGCTCCCAACTTTGTGGGAACAGTTTGGGATGGCCCCTTCCTGTTCCAACATGACTGCGCATCAGTGTACAAAGCAAGGTCCATAAAGACATGGATGAGCGAGGTTGGGGTGGAGGAACTTGACTGGCCTGCAGAGTCCTGACCTCAACCTGACAAAACACATTCGGGATGACTTAGAGTGGAGACAGCGAGCCAGGCCTTTCTTGTCCGACATCAGTGCCTGACCTCACAAATGCGCTTCTGGAAGAATGGTCAAACATTCCCATAGATACACTCCTAAACCTTGTGGACAGCCTTCCCAGAAGAGTTGAAGCTGTTATACCTGCAAAGGGTGGGCCAGCTCAATGTTGAACCCTACGGACTAAGACTGGGATGCCATTAAAGTTCATGTGTGTGTAAAGGCAGTGTCCTAATACTTTTGGCAATAATTTATAGTGTATGTATGGTACTGCCTTGTAACAGTTTAACATTACAAACGCAGAAGAAGACAATGTTGATGAAAATATGAGAATATAAATTGTTTGTGCTTTTACATGAATGTCATTCAACCAATATACATTATCAGATAAAATTGTTTGCTGTTGTCAGATTTTAATGTTAAGCAGTTAAAACAAAGAGCCTACTGATACAAATGCTTGCATTTTTATAAATACTGGTTCAAACTGCTTTAAGGGTTTCCAACCCCTTTTTCCACTTGGGGGCCTTTTTTGTGCAAGCTCTATGGTTACACCTCTCCCAACAGTGCATGGGAGGTATTATGGCTCATCCACAACAAGTACACATAATGAGTTAATCTCTTTTCATTGTAGTGCATGTGAGCCACCACGGCATTGCAGTTACTATAAGTGTGCATCAAAAGACTTCTATATGACTGTATACACAATTCCCAAATACAGTTACTAAGTGACACACACACCTCACATGTTCCTCCTACCAGACACTGCAGCTCAAAATGGGATGGTTGCACCAACAGAGACTGTGCTGTCAATCTAGAAAGCAGTGGGTAGGATTGTGTGTGGCTAGGAGTGATTGAAAAGCTACAGACTTGTGAGTCAGCAGTGAAAATGCTAATAGCCATATCACCTGCCACATCTTCTCATGTCTCAGCCTACATGAGAGTGGCAACTCTGAAATCAGCAGCAGTGTGCATCATTGTGACACCATCAAAGGAAGCTGCATTAGATCAACTTCATAGGCAGGATCAATGGGTATTTGTAGAACATTGTGGGGGAAGCTAAAAGAAAACTGCAAATGTAGATGTAGTTATAAATAGGGGTTAAGGCACATTTTCTTTAAAGGAAAGCCGTAGTCTTACTTTAAACTATATACAGAAGGAAATGTGGAAACTTGCCTTTCTGTCTGAGGTCCAGTGGTGTGGGTCAACTTTACATGAGATGGTATCATTGCAGATCAGTTTTACATGGGAAAGTAGCGCTATGGGTCAGCCTTACATAAGAAGTAGTGGTAGGCACCACTGGAGACATGAATACCATGATTTATGGTTGGGGCAGCCCTAATTCTACATAAAAGGTAAATGCACCATCTGCATTCACCAAGTGATCTTTTTCCTTTTTAAAAGTTTGTTTTCTTGGGCCCTATTCTTGCTTTTTAGTTCCAACAAGAACTTAGTTCTTCATAAATTAAACAGATTTTTTTTTCCCTACAGACACTTCTTTTTATCTATGCACGTTATGCTTTCATTGCCTTGACTAGTAAATTGGATGAAATGTATCATTTTTATTTTGCTGAGGTCAACATATTTTATAATTGCAGTGGGAATATTAATACATTACTGTTATCTGATTTATAGTTGCCTGTAGTATTATATGCTGTGATAGGGTATTATGCAACTCTTAGGTCTGGTGTGTGGTTACTGTGCAATTTCCTGAAAAACCTGCAATATAAATGTTTTATATTACAGTGCAGGCCTTTGGCTATAAATGTATTGCTATGTATTTGAACATTACATGTTATTGTCATATACATTCTGTATCTAAAGTTACCCCTTACATGGTATTACTGGTTAGGCAGCAAAAGTTAACTAATCCAGCCTTTATTCAGATTTATGTGGTTGTATTTGTCTTTTGTTGGGCACTGCTTGATGTAACATTCAATAATACACTATAACATACAGTATATTGCCAAAAGTATTAGGACACCCCTCCAAATCATTGGATTCAGGTGTTCCAATAACCTCCATGGCCAGAGGTGTATAAAATCAAGCACCTAGGCATGCAGACTGCTTCTACAAACATTTGTGAAAGAATGGGTCTCTCTTAGGAGCTCAGTGAATTCAAGCATGGTACCGTGATAGGTTGCCACCTGTGCAAGTCCAACTGAGAAATTTCCTTGCTACTAAATATTCCACGGTCAACTGTTAGTGGTATCATAATAAAGTGGAAACAACTGGGAACAACAGCAGCTCAGCCACAAAGTAGTAGAGCGCATAAAATGATAGAGTGGGATCAGCGCATGCTGAAGAGCACAGTGCGCAAAAGTTGTTTAGCCATGGGTTTCCATGGCTGAACAGCTGCATCCAAGCCTTACATCACCAAGTGCAATGCAAAACATTGGATGCAGTGGTGTAAAGCATGCCACCAATAGACTCTAGAGCAGTGGAGACGTGTTCTCTGGAGTGACGCATCACGCTTCTCTGTCTGGCAATCTGATGGACGTGTCTGGGTTTGGCGGTTGCCAGAGAACGGTACTTGCCTGACTGCATTGTGCCAAGTGTAAAGTTTGGTGGAGGGGGGATTATGGTGTGGGGTTGTTTTTCAGGGGTTGAGCTTGGCCCCTTAGTCTCAGTGAGACTCTTAAAGGTGTCAGCATACCAAGACATTTTGGACAATTTCATGCTCCCAGCTTTCTGGGAACAGTTTGAGGATGGCCCCTTCCTGTTCCAACATGACTGCACATCATTGCACAAAGCAAGGTCCATAAAGACATGGATGAGCAAGATTGGGGTGGAGGAACTTGACTGGCCTGCACAAAGTCCTGATATAAACTGGATAGAACACCTTTAGGATGAATGAGAGCGCAGACTGTGAGCCAGGCCTTCTCGTCTGACATCAGTGCCTGACCTCACAAATGCGCTTCTGGAAGAATGGTCAAACATTCCCATAGACACACTCCTAAACCTTGAGGACAGCCTTCCCAGTAGAGTTGAAGCTGTTATAGCTGCAAAGGGTGGGTCAACTCAATATTGAACCCAACGGAGTAAGACTGGGATGCCATTAAGGTTCAAGTGCATGTAAAGGCAGGCATACCAATACTTTTGGCAATATAGTGTACATAGTATGCAATGTGAACATGGAATGGTTACGTTTTAGTATCTATTTACAATGACTGCTGGATCATCTAACCAAATCAACCACAGGATAGGCATTATGCATGATTGGCATTTTCTTATCAGCCTACCTAGTTTGGTTTTCCAAAGTATATGTAAAGCCAAGTTGGATAGGTTTAAAACCCCTGTCAACTTATATTGTGCAGCATCCATGATTAGCTACTGCTATCATTATCAGTAGCAGTGACCTATAACAGTAACATGCTCTAGGAAACCTATGGTGCACAAACAATTATTTAAAGTGAGAATCAAACCATTATTTGTTTAACAAGTAGCACAAAAATGTTTTGTTTCCTATGCGAATGTTCCTTGGAATAAAAAAGAGGCATTAGCTTTTGCCAAACAGCAGATATGGCATACCGAAGGGATCTATTTATCAAAAGTAAGCAGTGTCTGTGACATAGCACCTACAGCTATGAAGGCATCTCTAGCGCCAGGTCTGACCAAATTCTGCCCAAGCAAATGTATATCAGCTGAGACTGCAAATATGAAAGGCTTTGCTTCTGAAACCGTAATGTACTTTTCAAATTAATGTGTATTGCCAATTTAGCACTATTTTTCAAGCAGGCTTACCAGCCTGCCAACCACTTACTGCATCAGTCTGAATGGCATACAGCTGGGACTGGGACATTGCACATTCAAGTGGTTGATAAATGGTCAGCATTGCATAGCCGCTAGCCACTCATAATTGATTGCCCTCATTCCAGCTTTTGGGATGCTTTCGGATGGCATTCTGATGGCTTTTTAAGCGCATTCGGAACAGTCACCTAGAAGCAGGAAAATGCTATAGACATTTGTTAAAACGGCTGAACAAACTGCCACTGAATGCTTAAGGTAAAAACCTTCTGTGTGCAGCAGTCCCCCCTCCCCAGCCCCCCCAAAATGTACCTGAGCTCGATGCCTATCCAGCATTGTGTACAAGAGCCTCAGCTCTCCAGGGTCTCTCCTTTCTCATTGGCTAAAACAGCAGCAGCAGAGGCCATTGGCTCCCACTACTGTCAATCACAGCCAGTGAGCCACTGAGGAGAGATCAGGGCCGAGCCAAGCTCCGTGTGGGAATGGAGTCACAGAGTAGCTGCTCAAGAGTGAGCCTGCTTGGGTGCCCCCATAGTCAGCTGCTTGCTATGGGGGTACTAGGCAAGAGGGAGGGGCCAGGAGTGCCAGTGGGGAATCTGACAAGAGCAGGATCGGGGCTGCTCTGTGCAAAATCACTGCACAGAGCAGGTAAGTATGCCATGTTTGTTATTTTAAAAAAGAAAATAAATCTGCCTTTAATATCACTTCAAGATGAGCCCTGAAAATGTTTGATGCTGGGCGTTATATTGCTTTCACAATGTTTTGGTGATGCTGAGCTACTCTTTCTCTAGCTGCATCAATCCTAGCAAAACTTCAAAAACACAAAAGCAAAACATTGCTTTGGACACATTATAGAGCCATGTACACATATTTTAGTTTTACATTAAAGCAAATATACAGTATATCTTTTCTTTTTTTTTTTAGAAATACAGAAAATGTTTTATTATTCTTTATTGGCAACTTCAGTGTACGAGTCAGTTCTCCACCCACTTGATACAATGTTGCCATCACCCTTTAATATTTTGAATATGCTACTTTAAAGAAATAAGCTAGTGATTTTCATACCGTCATTTTCAGTGAGCAATGGTGATATGCAAAGTGGAGTACCTAGAAACCCTAAAGTTGTGAGACTAAATTTGGATTGGTTACTTTTGAGCTATTGAATTTACTTTATTGAAGGAACAAAAACTTTGGTGTCAGTATTACTATTATTGTGGAAAATATAGACCAACCACAAAATATGATTCGGAATGGTCAATGGGATTTGTAAATTGTTATTAAGGCTAGTAGGAGATTTGCTGGTATCAGTCAACATTCAACTGTGCATTGCATTAAAGGAGATCTAAAGTCAAAATATGAAGTTTGTTGATGAGAAATCAGGGCAATGATAGCGGTCAAACCACCATATAATTATATCATAAATATGCTTGTTAATTTTCACAAATGATTTTTTCTTATCAACCACTATTGCATTCTTTCAACTGCTGTTATTTGTGGTGACTTTCTGGCCACTTCATGTGAAGGACATATGTATTGTGAATCTCCCAGTTTGCTTTGCTGCTGCCACCACTGCTGATGTCATAGAAGGAAGTCTATATATACAGTATATTGCTGTGCTTCTTCAGATGAGGGCTATCCTAAAGAGGGGTTACCTCAACGTCTTGACTTATAGAATGTTCTCACGTTCAGTTGTCCTTCCAGTGCAAAGCACTCTTCAGTGGGAGACATGGCTGGGCACATTCACAGGGACAAATGTTTTGTATCAAAGCAATGAAGGAAGTTGGTACTGTGGGATTGTTCAAAAACTATGTTTTGCAACTTGGACAGCATTGTATTTTGAACAACTATGCAACTATAACACATGGGAATTCAATTTCTCACCACATACTTGATTTTTATTTTTGGACCATAGATACGCTTTAAGCATGACTTTCTATTCTATAACATATTTTAAATTTAAGTATGTAATTCTGATTTTAATTGCTTTCCTTCATTCCAACACATTGCTCCTTTTCTCTTTAGCATCGTGTGTGGGCAGTTGTGTTAAAATGCATCCAAATCTTCTGATATTCATGGTCTAATGTCAGGTTTTTCCTTTGAATTCCACTTGTTTAGTGCAGAGATTTTCTACCTACAGGCGGCAATAACACCAGTGTCTATTTCAGTCCCATGTGAAAAGGATGTGAAATTTATGTGGGTGTATTAATTTATAAGTCAGTCTGTGTTGACGGGTGTCTTTCCTACAGTGCCTATGCTTGATGTGAACACTGTGCAGCTGGCCTGTGGAATTTAACACTCAAAATGTAGAGAGATGTAAATGACATCATAAGCATTATTCTACCACTGATTTTACGTATAGGTAGCTTACATTTGTGTTCTGAATACATTAAAGGGAGGCCATAGATAAATTACACTCACCTCCCTGTCATTGATGTGACGGTTTTAGTAAAGCTAAATTTGGATGTCTTTCATGTTGTCATTTCACAGCTGAAGATCTGACAGCCATAGGTATAAAGGTGAATGTAATTTCCTCTTGATATGTGATATCTGACTTTCCCTTTACTCTCCTTTCACAGGGGTGGAGTCCGCCTGTGATCCACTTGCTCAGCAGGAGATCTGTTTGTTGATCCCCAATGAACAGGCGGATCACAAGTTCGTATCTGCTCCGCCTATGCAGAGCAGACACGGACACATCCCGCTTTCCTCTATGGGCAGTTGGGTGTAAATGGGCCGCCTGTCTGTTTACACCGACTTCCATCTTATTCAGTCCACTAGATGGAAGGGGAACAGATCCCCATCCATCTTTTTTTAGTGGATCAGATTGTATTGGATGTAGGTGGGTGTAAACAGACACTTGTGCTGGTAGGTTAATTGGCTCCTGTCTAAATTGGCCCTAGTATATTGTATGTATGAATGTAAGTTAGGGACCTTAGGTTGTATGCCCCTTGAGGGTTAGGGACTGATGTGAATGTACAATATATATGTAAAGCACTGCTTAAATTGATGCAGCACAGTGGCTAATTGTTAACCCTTCCGCCTAATACTAGGTCATTGGTTTGAATCCCAAACGGCACCACCTGCCTGGAGTTTGCATGTTCCCCTGTGCTGCTCCATAGATGAGAATGGAGGTTCATCAGGTCTGCCTGTCCATTTTTCAGGACTACTCATGTGAAAGGGGCCTTAAGAAGAAATGCCTTAACATATATTGTTACAATTTAACATATTCACGTTTCTCTTTACCAGGCTCCTTTCAAACGGGGTGGACTCCATCCAGATCAGCAGGGGATCCATTCACAGATCCCCTGCTGATGGGAGAAGAGTGGGCAGATGACACATCTGTTTCCGCTCAGTTTGGGTGGCCGAGTGTAAACAGACTCCACTGTGCATTTACACCCAACTATCCTCTAATCCAGGGGTGGCCAACCTGCGGCTCTCCAGCTGCTGCAGGACTACAAGTTCCATCATGCCTCTGCAAGTCAGTAACTTCCCATCTTTGCAATGCCTCATGGGAAATGTAGTTCCACAACAGCTGGAGAGCCACAGGTTAGCCACCCCTGCTCTAATCCAATCCACCTAGATGGAGGGGGCTGGATCTTCTTCCATTTTTAATTTTTTCTTATCAGACTGGATCTGATTTGGAACTAGGCGTATGTGAACAGTT